GGGAGCGGAGCCGAGCCCGGCGGGCAGCGAGGCGGCTCGCGGCGCCGGGAGGAAGGCAGCGGCGGGACCTCCACCCCTACCTTGCGGAATAAGCGGACATTGCAAGTCGCAAGAACGAGGATCTGCGCTTGGTCCACGGTGTCGGATACCTCCATCCTAAGTTTGGGGGCGTTTGGTGCCTTTTTTCTTCCGCTCGGTTTTGTTTCCTCGTCCCCTCTCCCTCTTCCCTTCCCTCCCCTAACCACCCCAAACCGCGAAACTCGAGTGCTGCCGACGAATCGCGACCGGCTCCGCCAAGCTGTCCGCTCCGGCTTCGGACCGCTCCGATGGAAATACACTGTAAGCACGACCCGTTTGCAGCAATGCATAGTAAGTAGGCTGCTAGTTCAACTTCTCTGACACGGTAGGGCCGAGCCAGGCCGAGAGCATTTGCGAATGGGGGGCGCGTTTCCCGTCCCGGGGTCCGGCGGCACCGAGCGGGGAGACAGGCCCGGCGCGCAAACGAAATCCCGGGCGGCAGCCGCGCTCGGGGCTGCGCGCGACTTTGGGCTTCCATCCCGGCATCCCTTCCTTTCTGGCGCGGAGAGGCGATGTTCGCCTCGGTCCCTCTCCCCCCTTTCTGGCGTGCCTCTTTCTCTCTTTTCTGTCTTTCTTTCTCCCTCTCTTTTCTTTTTCTTTTTTTCCTTTTTTTTTTTGGTTAGAAGAACACAAAATAGAACAAGGAATACCATAACACAGGTATATATTTTTTTGTGTTCGTCTATTTTTCTTTTCTAAGAACTCTTGTCCCCGTGGAGGAATGAGCCAATAAAGAATGTATATACGTATATGTATGTGTGTACCAACACATACATATTTATATATAATAGTATATGTATGTAGTCAAATTTCTAAAAAAAAAAAAGTCTCCCTCTATTTCTGACAAATAGAAAAGTTTGCTATGTTATGTTTAACTGTATTCCAAATTTTGTTGTATCTTAATTAAAAATACAAAAAAAAAGAAAAAAGAAAAAAAGAAAAAAGAAAAAAAAGGGGAAAATCCATCGGACACAAACCGGGGCTGAAGGCGACGTTTTGTTATCCATTTGGAGAAGGGCAGAGCAATTCCTTTGCAACCTTTACATTAAAAAGTGCGGGAGAGACCCTACGGGTAGCAGAGCTGGTTAAGTTAACAGATCGTGTGGAATGGGCTTGACCGAGATTTGTTGTGCTTGAGAGGTCGGGGGAAGACTTATCCATTAGCACAGTGTTATGTGAAATGACATCTTCTCTCACGGTGAGTTAAACGGTGCATTACGGCGAGAGATTGCGAGGAAATTTAAGGTAGAACTAATCTCATTTCCTGGTGCACCGCAGTCCTTTTAGCTAAAATAGATTTGTTTGCAAAATAAACCAGCTAGTGCTAGGGCTAGAAATCTCTCTCTCTTTCGCTCCCTCTTTATTTTTCTCTGTTTATATATCTATTGCTTTCTCGCTTTGTCCGACACATAATTTTGGAGGATATGGAGAGTCGATTAATGCGGCAGCGGTAGTGGTCGGTGACTCCCCTTGCTGCGTGTGAGCTGCACCTTCGCTTCCACGGAAATACACAATTTTTAGAGGTGTGATTATTTGTTTCCCCTTAATCAGATAAAATAACATCAAATAATTTGTAAGAGGACGTGCTTACAGATATAAAAAAAAAATCTACCTCTGATCTTGGGCGGAAAGCCCACAAGCCCCATTCATCAAGTGAGTGCCTTTTGGGGAGGTGACCCCCCAAGCGGATTGTGGCGCTTGCATGCACGGAGGGCAGGTTTGCCTAATCTGGCTGGACATCAGGCGTGAGAGAAACCACTAAGGGTGTGAGAGGCTCTCTCTATTAACCAAAGTCATGGAAAATCGATATCTTCTGTAGGAATTTATTGA